ATTACGTGCTACATCATACCTTGTATATTTATTTATCCTCTTTTTCATAAAATATGTATTACTTATTACCAAATTTCTTTCTACACATAGCTCAATTAAAGGCTCCCCATTTACATTTACCCCTGGCACCCCAAATTTACCTACTACTCCTTCCATAACATTTTTACCCACTTTAGCATTGAAATCCCCAACCACTATTACTCTCACACTTGATTCAAAACTCCCCACGCATTCACTCAACATTTCCCAAAATCTCTCTCTCTCCTCTACACTTCTCTCTTCTCCAGGTGCATACACGCTTATTATAACCCACTTTTCACATCCAATCTTTATTTTACTCCACATAATCCTTGAATTAATACATTTATAGTCCCTCTTTTCCTGCCATAGCTTATGCTTCAACATTATTGCTACTCCTTCTTTAGCTCTAACTCTATTTGAAACCCCTGACCTAATCCCATTTATTCCTCTCCACTGAAACTCTCCCACCCCCTTCAGCTTTGTTTCACTTAAAGCCAGGACATCCAGCTTCTTCTCATTCATAACATCCACAATCATCTCTTTCTTATCATCTGCACAACATCCACGCACATTCAGACTTCCCACTTTGACAATTTTCTTCTTCTTATTCTTTTTAGTAATCTTTACAGGAAAAGGGGTTACTAGCCCATTGTTCCCGGCATTTTAGTTGACTTTTACAACACGCATGGCTTACGGAGGAAAGATTCTTATTCCACTTCCCCATGGATATAAAAGGAAAATTAATAAGACCAAGAACTATTAAGATAAAATCAAAGAAAACTCAGATAAGTGTGTATAAATAAATGTGTACATGTATGTGTAGTGTGACCTAAGTGTAAGTAGTAGTAGCAAGACATGCCTGTAATCTTGCATATTTATGAGACAGACAAAAGACATCAGCAATCCTACCATCATGTAAAACAATCACAGGCTTCGTTTTACACTCACTTGGCAGGACGGTAGTACCTCCCTGGGTGGTTGCTGTCTACCAACCTACTACCTACACTCTTAATGCTACATTTAATTGCTACACTCTTAATGCTACACTTTGCCACTGCTGCTTCATGTTGTCTGCCACTGCTACCTCATGATGTCTGCCACTGCTGCTTCATGCTGTCTGTCACTGCTGCTTCATGTTGTCTACCACTGCTACTTCAAGTTGTCTGCCACTGCTACCTCATGTTGTCTGCCACTGCTGCTTCATGTTGTCTGCCACTGCTACCTCATGATGTCTCCCACTGTTGCTTCACATTGTCTGCCACTGCTGCTTCATGTTGTCTGCCACTGCTACCTCATGATGTCTGCCACTGCTGCTTCATGTTGTCTGTCACTGCTGCTTCATGTTGTTTGTCACTGCTGCTTCATGTTGTCTGCCACTGCTACCTCATATTTATTTTTGTAGTACAGGTCCTCCATCACAAATCCGGCATCATTGGGACCTGTAGTGTGCCGGATTACTGAGTTTGCCGAATTACAGAGTGGTTAGGTTAGAATACACTTAATAAAATTAACCAACTTGACTTACACAGTTCATTGAACATTGGCAAAAATCAAACATTTCCCCTACTTTGAGCTCAATTTCAAGGCACTTTTCATCATGAAAGTAATCAAAATCATGTCTATTTCTGTAATATATCTTCCATTCTATCAAATGAGTCCAAAAAAATGAGAATACAACCATAAAAACCATACGAAAATACAGTGGACCCCCGGTTAACGATATTTTTTCACTCCATAAGTATGTTCAGGTGCCAGTACTGACCAAATTTATTCCCATAAGGAATATTGTGAAGTAGATTAGTCCATTTCAGACCCCCAAACATACAAATACAAACGCACTTACATAAATACACTTACATAATTGGTCGCATTCGGAGGTAATCGTTATGCGGGGGTCCACTGTATACTGCAAAGAGGCGGCTAATGGCTGAGAAGTTAACTCCCTTATTTATCGTCTGCCTTTTTTATTTTTGTTGTACGTTAAGAAGCATCTTTCCATCATACATTGCCCAAGTTTCAATGAGATAGCCCAACAAACAACCGAGAAAAAAAAAATATTTACCAAAAACCATATATGGCAAGCCCAAGTAAGGTACTGGAAATAAGTCACTTTGTCTGGCTTTTCTGGGTTAACCTAGGTACTCTATACATACACTGCTATGTATGATAATCTATGTAACTATTTGTGTATACCTGAATAAACTTATTTACTTCTAGTCTGTCAACTGAGTACAAGAAACTGCGTATTCACTTATTTCAACTACCCAATAAAGTGGTCAGAAATTGGCAATTTGGCCAATTTCACACAAATTTCAACAGATGCCAATTTCAAAATAGGATCCAGAATAAACAATGCAGACATTCCTGGCACTAAAACAACATTTTCTCTGTTCATTAGTCATGGCTACAGGCCCCTCTTATATTACTCTTGCTTTTCATTTGGAATTTTTATTCACAAAAAAAACTGAAGATTTACTGTTATGCAGACTGCTGCATTATTGTAATAATTGTATAAATAATGCCAAGCCATTCTTGACTCCGTATTGGACTGGCAGGCGGACAGGTATTGGACGGTGACGTCATTTGTTTACTCTTGAGCTTCGCTAAAGAATAGAACATTTTCGCTACTGTGAGCACAATTTCAAGGTACTTTTCATCATGAAAGCAATCAAAATGATATCTACTTCTGTAATATATATTTCATTCTATCAAATGAGACCGAAAAAATGAGAATATAACCATAAAAACCATACAAAAATATACCGCTAAGCAGCTGCTAATGGCTGAGAAGTGAACTCCGCTATTTATGGCCTGATTTCTTTCATTTTTGGTGTACGCGAAGAAGTATCTTTTCATCATACATTGCCCAAGTTTGAATAAGATAACTCAACAAACAACAGAGAAAATAATAATAATAATATAATAATAATATCTTTATTTACTACACGTACATGTACAAGGTATACAGGCCTAGCTGACATCAGTGACATACTACTATATAGAAAGCCACTTGTTAGGCTGAGTATTTCAAGAAAATTAGGTCAGTGTCCCAGGATAACACCCACACTAGTCGGCTAGCACCCAGGTACCCATTTACTGATGGGTAAACATAGACAACAGGTGTAAAGAAACACGCCTAATGTTTCTACCCTGGCTGGGAATCGAATGTTTACCAAGAATCATATATGGCTAACCCAAGCCAGGTAATAAAAATAAGCCACGTTGGCTTTTTTTGGGTTATCCTAGGTTCTCTACACATATGCTGCTATGTGTGATAATCTATAGAGAGAAAATAACTTTTTTGTTTCATGTTTATGGTGGAGTATGAGTGTATATCATAGTTAGCCCTGTGCTATACTCCATTTTCTCTAATATAAGCCCCCAAGACAGGGATAGGAGAATGGTATTTGTATACCATATCCTCTTCATACCTCCGTCAAACTGCTCGGTGTTATGCCAAATATTATTCATTCTGGAGTATTTAACATATTTTATGTTATTTATATTGTTTCTTATGTCATATTAGATCAATTGTGATAGGCAAATAAGCTGTAGTGTTGATATTAGCATAATAAAGCATATTCTCCTGCTTCATGAGACTGAGCTCATGGCAACTGACAGTGGCTTCAAAGCCACCTTATCTTTAATGGATAATGTACTGTGTAGGTGCTTTACATAATGAGAAGCATTTCTTTTATTCATTGGAACCATGGCTAGGGCTAAAAGTAAGCAGGTTAAAACAATAAATGGAGAAAAAGAAATTGGAATGACTTATGCAGCAAGTAGCATCACCAAACAGTACCAGCAGGTTGGTGTAGCAACCCTGGAAATTTGAAATTATGCTAGCCAAAATTAGTGCCGAATAACTGAAGGGACCGAATGACTGATTGCCGGATTTGTGATGGCGGACCTGTATATCTTGCATTCTATCACATGAGACCAAATAAAACAAGAATACAACCATAAAATCCATACGAAAATATACCACTAAGGGGAGGCTAATAGCTGAGAAGTGAACTCCGTTATTTATGGTCCAATTTCTTTCATTTTTGGTGTGCGTGAAGAAGCATCTTTTCATCATACATTGCCCAAGTTTCAATAAGGTAGTCCAACAAACAGCTGAGATCCAGTTCCCTAGATCAAGAGCAAGAGCCCCCTCACCAGTGTCAATTAACCTCCCTTGAGGCCAGCTCGCATCTGGAAATTTTGCTCTCGTCTGGAAGCAAAAAATCGAGCGAGCAGCTGCTCGTATCTGGGAAAACTTGCACATGGATGCACTCGTAAGTAGAGGTTCCACTATAGTTCCTATGTACGTATGTACATGTATTAGGATTAGTCTGCCCGAAATGCCCCGGCACGATAGCGGCTTTCTTTGTACAGTTGTAATTACATATTACAAAGAAATAAACTCTTTATCTTTATCTTATTTTTTGTGTGAATAAAAATTCAAAATGGAAAGCAAGCATATTATAAGAGGAACCTGGAGACGTGACTAATGAACAGAGAAAATGTTATTTTAGTACTAGGAATGTTTGCATTGTTAATTCAGAACCCTGTTTTGAAATTGGCTTTTCTTGAATTTTGTATGAGACTGGCCAAATTAGTAATTTCTGATCACTTTATTGGGTAGTTCAGATAGGTAAATCGGCAGTTTCTTGTACTCAGTCAATAGAACAAAAGGAGTTTTAGCAAAATAGCTATGAATATAGTCGAATGGAACTGGCTCAAAACAGGGCACAAATTGGGCAAAATGGCTAATGTGTAAATATCGCCGAGACCGCTAACTTCGCAAGGGTGTAATTCCGTAAATTTTCCATCAAATTTCATACTTTTGGTTTCATTACCATCAGGAAAAGAATCTGCCATTTCATAAGAAATCATTTTTTTTTTTTTTTAATTATTCGACACTAAGAGCAAGTTTGCAAGCATGGATCTCAACAGTGAAAGGGTTAAAAATCCTTGCATTTTCTTCCTTGCAGCTGCCTTGGATCTTCAAGTGAGCAGTACACTTACAGGCAGCAGTAGAAGAAATATTAAAAATGAAAACAGCCGAGGTAGCAGCAGCAGCAGCAGTATTAATGGTCTCGACCTGGAGAATTTAATTGTGATTTATAATCGGGTCCCAAAGACAGGATCTACTTCCTTTATTGGCCTGGCATATGATCTCTGCTCCAAGAATAAGTTTAATGTTATTAATGTTAATACCACTAAGAAAAACCCAACGCTCTCCTTAACAGACCAGGTAAAGTCTTGTTCTTAACAGACCAGGTAAAGTCTTGTTCTTAACAGACCAGGTAAAGTCTTGTTCTTAACAGATCAGGTAAAGTCTGGTTCTTAACATATATACAGTAGGGCCCCACTTATACTGCAGGTTAGGTTCCAGGCTACTCCCGGAAAGCAGACATCACTGGAAAGCAGAACGCCATTTTTTCCACTTATAAATGCATATAAATGCCAGATAACAAGTTTACACTAACATATATTAAATTAATAGTAGAACTAGGCATTAAAAACAACAAAAGGTAAAATACACACAGTACATGTTATTTACCTCAAAATATTTGTAGTCTTAATGCAGGGCAAAAGTTGAGTAGTATTTACTGTAAGAAGTTAGGTGTGGTAGCCCTCCTGGACTCCCCACCCACATAAAATATACTATGACAGTGCTTAAAGCTCCATAGAGTGATAAAATGCATATACAGTACACTCATTACATACCTTAAAATATTTGTAGTCTTAATGTAGGGTGAAAGGTGAAAAGTATTTATTTGTAGAAAGTGGTGTGGTAGGTAGGGTAGTGTAGGGAAGCCAGCCTGGCCACCCCACCCACTATGTAAACAAACAGACGATGCATCTGGTTATGGTTCACAAACATTCATACAAACACCTTACATTGTGCACGAGTTGTCTCCACAGTGGTACAGTAGAATAAATAAAACTGACTCACAAAATCGTAATGACACAATTGCAAACAAACCATACCACGGGTGGGGTTTGAACCCGCTGTCAGAGAGTCTCAAAACTCAGACCGTCGCGTTAGCCACTGGGCCAGCTAGCTTCAATAAGATCCATCCAACTTCTTATTGAAGCTAGCTGGCCCAGTGGCTAACGCGACGGTCTGGAGTTTTGAGACTGACCGCGGGTTCAAACCTCACCCGTGGTATGGTTTAGAATAAATAAGGACCAACACTTCCACTGTCAAGTAATTTTTAGAAGGAATGATGCTCTAACAAATTATTATTATTATTATTATTATTATTATTATTATTATTATTATTATTATTCATCTTCATCATCATCTTCATCATCTTCATCTTCATCATTTTCATCTTCATCATCATCTTCATCATCATCATCATCATCTTCATCATCATCATCATCATCTTCATCATCATCTTCATCATCATCATCTTCATCATCATCATCATCATCATCATCATCATCATCATCTTCATCATCATCATCTTCATCTTCATCATCATCTTCATCATCATCTTCATCATTTTCATCATCTTCTTCATCACCATCTTCATCATCATCATCATCATCATCATCATCATCATCATCATTCATCATCATTCATCATTCATCATCATCATCATCAATCATAATCATCATCAATAATAATAAGTACTAAACCCACAAGCATTGTGAATTGCTATATATAGAGTGAAGGCATACGAAAGGAATACTTATCTACAGTTATCCCCCAGTGTTGACTAGAGAAAATGTAATTCTTCCGACACTCCTACAAAGTCGCTTTATAAACAGATCTTATATTTACGTCAGTTTTTATTCTGTGGGTGTATGTATAATGTTTATGTGCTATGTAATGTGTTTCTTATATAATTTTGAAGAAAATATCATAGATGAATTAATGAAAATGTCTATATTAACGTAAAATAAGATATATGCCCAAGAGAGATTATTATTACGTAGTATCACTGTGGCGTCATGAGTAGAGAGAGACTTAGTAATTTTAATGTTTACCCTCACTCCAGCACAGTGTGTAAGTATACAGTGGACCCCCGCATAACGATCACCTCCGAATGCGACCAATTATGTAAGTGTATTTATGTAAGTGCGTTTGTACGTGTATGTTTGGGGGTCTGAAATGGACTAATCTACTTCACAATATTCCTTATGGGAACAAATTCGGTCAGTACTGGCACCTGAACATACTTCTGGAGTGAAAAAATATCGTTAACCGGGGGTCCACTGTATTTAGGTACCAGTACACATAAGCATAATTATCAGAGTACATATAAAATACAGTGGTCCCTCAATAATCGTCCATAATCCGTTCCTGGAAGTGGGACTATTATCGAAATGGACGATTTTTGAATCAATTTTCCCCATAAGAAATAATGTAAATCCAATTAATTCGTTCCAGACACTCAGAAGTATCAACAACAATTTTTTTTTTTACCTAAAAGATAGATTTACATGCACAATAAAATGAACATTCAACATGACAGTTACCTTTATTGAAGGCTGTTGTTGATGAATGGAAGACAGGGAGGAGGAGAGAGGGAAGAGAGGTTATTTGGAAGGGGAATCCCCCTCCATAAGGACTCTAGGGCACTAATAAAATGTATAAATGAACATTGGTAATAGGGGTAGTTGATGAGTGGAACGGTCTGCCTAGTAGGGTGATCGAAGCCAAAACATTTAGTTTCAAATTTAGGTTGGATAAATACACGAGATAGAGGGGTTGGATTTGAGTCAGACTTGCACCTGAGCTTATTGCTTGGGTAGCATTTGTTCTGTTAGTGGATTGGATTTGTGAAGGACTGGCCTAGTATGGGCCAACAGGCCTATTGCAGTGTTCCTCCTTTCCAATGTTCTAAAAGCTATGGCTTGGGTAGTTTCAAATTTAGGTTGGATAAATACACGAGTGAAAGAGGTTGGATTTGAGTCGGACTTGCACCTGAGTTTATTGCTTGGGTAGCATTTGTTCTGTTAGTGGGTTGGATTTGTGAATGACCGGCCTAGTATGGGCCAGCAGGCCTGTTCCAGTGTTCCTACTTTCTTAAGTTCTTATTTAACATCACTTACCAGTAGGGTGATCGAGGCTAGGACCTTGGGTAGGTTCAAGAAGACATTGGACAAATATACGAGTTGGAGGAGCTGAGTTTGATTTGTGTCATTGGGTACGGGAGTAAATTCTTGGGTAGCTTTGGGTGGAGGTCATTTTGATAAGGACCTGCCTTGTATGGGCCAGTAGACCTGCAGTGTTCTTCCATTGTTATGTTTTTACTGGCTATTTGTTTGTGAGGGAGGGATGGCAAGTTTATTGTTGGAGAATATGACACTAATATCAACTCTATGGCTTATTTATCTATCACAATTCAACTAATATGACAAAATAAACAATATTAACCCTTTGAGGGTCGACAGGCCCTCTCCGAAACTCGTTCTCAGGGTCGGCCAAATTTAAAAAAAAAAAAATTATTTTCTCTTATGAAAAGATAGAGAATCTTTTCCCGGTCATAAAGACACCAAAAGTTTGAAATTTGATAGAAAACTTACAGAATTATGCTCTCACAAAGTTAGCGGTCTCGGCGATGTTTACGCATCGGCGATTTTGCCCACTTTGAGCCCCATTTTCGGCCAATTTCACTGTACTAGTCGACAAAAAACATGAATATTTCGCTAGATAATCCATTTTTTTCTATCGAATGGGTGCAAGAAACCACCCATTTATGAAATTCAACTATCCAGTACAGTGGTCAGAATTTAGCAATTTTGCCAATTTCACACAAATTTCAAAAGATGCCAATTTCCGAATAGGGTCCAGAATAAACAAGAAAGACATTCCTGGCACTAAAATGACATTTCCTCTAGTCATTAGTCACGTCTCAAGGCCCCTCTTATATTCTTTTGCTTTCCACTTTGAATTTTTATTCTCACAAAAAATATAAGATTTACTGTTATGCAGACTACTGCATTAGTGTAAAAAATGGTATAAATATTATTGGTGCACTTGTGAAAGAATATTAGACTCACCAGTTGACGTGCATTGCACGCTTGGCACGATTTGTTTACTTCTGAAGTTTGGTAAAAAATCGAACATTTCTGCTACTTTGAGCTCAATTTCAAGCACCTTTCATTGTAAAACCAGTCAAAATCATCTCAATTTCTGTAATATGTTCTTCCATTCTATAAAATGAGACCAAGAAAACTAGAATACAACAATAAATACCATACGAAAATACACTGCAAAGTCGCTGATTTATTCCAAAAAAATGGTCAAAGTTTTTTTTTCTCATTATGCACTGTGTGCTGCAGGATTTTTTTTAGACTGTGCACACTGACCACATAGACCCATTCTTTCATATGAAGGCCTACCAGCTTTCTCCCACTAGATTTGAGGCCGCTAGAATTTATGCGTACTAGTACGTCAAAAACCCCTACGCGTAAGACGTACTAGTACGACCAAAACCCTCAAAGGGTTAATAACATAGAAACATGGAATATACTCTAGAATGAATAAAATAAGTCATTACGTATGTCACGAGAGGTGTTGTGTTGTTGTTGGGTATATAAGGGCCACTGAGTGTAAGCCGTCCATAATGGTGGTGAGGCGGCGGTGGTTTTTGTAGCAATAAATAACTCCAACAACATTGGAGGAGTTGGTAGAATCGCTGAATCACTAAAGAAGGAACCCTCTACCACCATCACTACGACCTTCTACCACTATTACAACTGTTACCACCATCACTACCTTCTACCACCATCACTACTACCTTCTGCCACCATCACTACCACCAAATAATGCTTCTAGTGCCAGCCCTTTGGTAAAGAATGTGAGAAACACATAATTTATGAAAAAGTTTGTAGAAAAATACAAAGATGGTGGTGGTAGAGTGGAAGCAGTTGTGATAGTGGTTGATGAACATAAGAAAAGAGGATCACTGCAGCAGGTCTGTTGGCCCATGCTCGGCAGGTCCTTTACAATTCATCTCACTAACAAAACATTTTCCCAACCCAGTCCTCAATGCTACCCAAGAAATAAGCTCTGATAACTCTATCCACTCATTTGGGACTTGCATGGTAGCTTATTTAGCACTTGCAAGCACTAAAATCAATGGAATATTATGAAATATTTCGTAGGAGCATGTGAGGGGACCGTCACTCACTGGTAAACAATGGCACACTGGCTGGGAAGGAAAGGCCGAGGCGGCTCAGAGCGTAAGTATGCGTCCAAGATGAAGAACTATTAGGACTATTAGCGAGTTACCGGACCATTTGCGAGCCAATATTTTGACGAAAAAACAGGACTATTTCCGAAATGGACGACTTTCAGGCCAGACGATTATTGAGGGACCACTGTATGTAGGTAGTAGGTTGGTAGACAGCAACCACCCAGGGAGGTACTACCGTCCTGCCAAGTGAGTGTAAAACGAAAGCCTGTAATTGTTTTACATGATGGTAGGATTGCTGGTGTCTTTTGTCTGTCTCATAAATATGCAAGATTACAGGCATGTCTTGCTACTTCTACTTACACTTAGGTCACACTACACATACATGTACACATTTATTTATACACACTCATCTGAGTTTTCTTTGATTTTATCTTAATAGTTCTTCGTCTTATTACTTTTCCTTTTATATCCATGGGGAAGTGGAATAAGAATCTTTCCTCCGTAAGCCATGCGTGTTTGTAAAAGTCAACTAAAATGCCGGGAACAATGGGCTAGTAACCCCTTTTCCTGTAAAGATTACTAAACAGAATAAGAAGAAGAAAATTGTCAAAGTGGGAAGTCTGAATGTGCATGGATGTTGTGCAAAGGATAAGAAAGAGATGATTGTGGATGTTATGAATGAGAGAAACTGGATGTCCTGGCTTTAAGTGAAACAAAGCTGAAGGGGGTGGGAGAGTTTCAATGGAGAGGAATAAATGGGATTACGTCAGGGGTTTCAAATAGAGTTAGAGCTAAAGAAGGAGTAGCAATAATGTTGAAGGATAAGCTATGGCAGGAAAAGAGGGACTACAAATGTATAAATTCAAGGATTATGTGGAGTAAAATAAAGATTGGATGTGAAAAGTGGGTTATAGTAAGCGTGTATGCACCTGGAGAAGAGAGAAGTGTAGAGGAGAGAGAGAGAGAGATTCTGGGAAATGTTGAGTGAATGCGTGGGGAGTTTTGAATCAAGTGTGAGAGTAATGGTGGTTGGGGATTTCAGTGCTAAAGTGGGTAAAAATGTTATGGAGGGAGTAGTAGGTAAATTTGGGGTGCCAGGGGTAAATGTAAATGGGGAGCCTTTAATTGAGCTATGTGTTGAAAGAAATTTGGTAATAATACATATTTTATGAAAAAGAGGATAAATAAATATACAAGGTATGATGTAGCATGTAATGAAAGTAGTTTGTTAGATTATGTATTGGTGGATAAAAGTGGTTGATGGGTAGGCTCCAGGATGTACATGTTTATAGAGGGGCAACTGATATATCGGATCATTATTTAGTTATAGCTACAGTTAGAGTAAGAGGTAGATGGGAAAAGAGGAATGTGGCAACAACAAGTAAGAGGGAGGTGAAAGTGTATAAACTAAGGGAGGAGGAAGTTCGGGCGAGATATAAGCGACTATTGGCAGAAAGGTGGACTAGTGCAAAGATGAGTAGTGGGCGGGTTGAAGAGGGTTGGAATAGTTTTAAAAATGCAGTATTAGAATGTGGGGCAGAAGTTTGTGGTTATAGGAGGGTGGGGGCAGGAGGAAAGAGGAGTGATTGGTGGAATGATGAAGTAAAGGGTGTGATAAAAGAGAAAAAGGTAGCTTACGAGAGGTTTTTACAAAGCAGAAGTGTTATAAGAAGAGCAGAGTATGTGGAGAGTAAAAGAAATGTGAAGAGAGTGGTGAGAGAGTGCAAAAGGAGAGCAGATGAAAGAGTGGGAGAGGCACTGTCAAGAAATTTTAATGAAAATAAAAAAAAATTTTGGAGTTAAACAAGTTAAGAAAGCCTAGGGAAAGTATGGATTTGTCAGTTAAAAACAGAGTAGGGGAGTTAGTAGATGGGGAGATGGAGGTATTAGGTAGATGGCGAGAATATTTTGAGGAACTTTTAAATGTTGAGGAAGAAAGGGAGGTGGTAATTTCATGCACTGGCCAGGGAGGTATACCATCTTTTAGGAGTGAAGAAGAGCAGAATGTAAGTGTGGTGGAGGTACGTGAGGCGTTACGTAGAATGAAATGGGGTAAAGCAGCTGGAACTGATGGGATCATGACAGAAATGTAAAAAGCAGGGGGGGATATAGTATTGGAGTGGTTGGTACTTTTGTTTAATAAATGTATGAAAGAGGGGAAAGTACCTAGGGATTGGCGGAGAGCATGTGTAGTCCCTTTATATAAAGGGAAAGGAGACAAAAGAGATTGTAAAAATTATAGAGGAATAAGTTTACTGAGTATACCAGGAAAAGTATACGGTAGGGTTATAATTGAAAGAATTAGAGGTAAGACAGAATGTAGGATTGCGGATGAGCAGGGAGGCTTCAGAGTGGGTAGGGGATGTGTAGATCAAGTGTTTACATTGAAGCATATATGTGAACAGTATTTAGATAAAGGTAGGGAAGTTTTTATTGCATTTATGGATTTAGAAAAGGCATATGATAGAGTGGATAGAGGAGCAATGTGGCAGATGTTGCAAGTATATGGAATAGGTGGTAAGTTACTAAATGCTGTAAAGAGCTTTTATGAGGATAGTGAGGCTCAGGTTAGGGTATGTAGAAGAGAGGGAGAATACTTCCCGGTAAAAGTAGGTCGTAGACAGGGATGTGTAATGTCACCATGGTTTAATATATTTATAGATGGGGTTGTAAAAGAAGTAAATGCTAGGGTGTTTGGGAGAGGGGTGGGATTAAATTATGGGGAATCAAATTCAAAATGGGAACTGACACAGTTTTTTTTGCTGATGCTACTGTGCTTATGGGAGATTCTAAAGAAAAATTGCAAAGGTTAGTGGATGAGTTTGAGAATGTGTGTAAAGGTAGAAAGTTGAAAGTGAACATAGAAAAGAGTAAGGTGATGAGGGTATCAAATGATTTAGATAAAGAAAAATTGGATATCAAATTGGGGAGGAGGAGTATGGAAGAAGTGAATGTTTTCAGATACTTGGGAGTTGACATGTCGGCAGATGGGTTTATGAAGGATGAGGTTAATCATAGAATTGATGAGGGAAAAAAGGTGAGTGGTGCATTGAGGTATATGTGGAGTCAAAAAACGTTATCTATGGAGGCAAAGAAGGGAATGTATGAAAGTATAGTAGTACCAACACTCTTATATGGATGTGAAGCTTGGGTGGTAAATGCAGCAGCGAGGAGACGGTTGGAGGCAGTTTAGATGTCCTGTCTAAGGGCAATGTGTGGTGTAAATATTATGCAGAAAATTTGGAGTGTGGAAATTAGGAGAAGGTGTGGAGTTAATAAAAGCATTAGTCAGAGGGCAGAAAAGGGGTTGTTGAGGTGGTTTGGTCATTTAGAGAGAATGGATCAAAGTAGAATGACAGGGAAAGCATATAAATCTATAGGGGAAGGATGGAGGGGTAGGAGTCGTCCTCAAAAGGGTTGGAAAGAGGGGGTAAAGGAGGTTTTGTGGGCAAGGGGCTTGGACTTCCAGCAAGCGTGCATGAGCGTGTTAGATAGGAGTGAATGGAGACGAATGATACTTGGGACCTGACGATCTGTTGGAGTGTGAGCAGGGTAATATTTAGTGAAGGGATTCAGGGAAACCGGTTATTTTCATATAGTCGGACTTGAGTCCTGGAAATGGGAAGTGCAATGCCTGCACTTTAAAGGAGGGGTTTGGGATATTGGCAGTTTGGAGGGATATGTTGTGTATCTTTATACGTATATGCTTCTAAACTGTTGTATTCTGAGCACCTCTGCAAAAGCAGTGATAATGTGTGAGTGTGGTGAGTGTTGAATGATGATGAAAGTATTTTCTTTTTGGGGATTTTCTTTCTTTTTTGGGTCACCCTGCCTCGGTGGGAGACTGCCGACTTGTTGAAAAAAAAAAAAATATGTAAAATACGCAATAACTTTCAAACACTTGAAATTTTGGAAAGTTTCCAGACGTAATAGATGTGCTCACGGAGAATGTAAACAAACCGGGTGGGGCACTCCGTATTTGAAAGACCACTTGCCGTATAGCAAATTTTGGTCATAATTTGAAATCGCAGTATTAGTGGAACGCCGTAAGGTGAAGCGCCATAAAGCGGGGCCCTACTGTATTCTTGTCTGTTTTATTATCAGTCTTAATTGTAAATACAATATTTTCTCTGAAGTTTGTGTAACATACAATGTACATTGCATACATTTAAGATGGTATTTATATATGTTTATAATGGAAGCATTTCAAACATTTGTTAGACAACATTTGCTTACTGTATTCTCATAAAGAATGCTGCACATCAATTAGGAATTGGCCATTGTGACTGTTAGTCAGCAAACTTTTAGTGTTTTTTCTCTCTGTGCTACTGTAACACCACAATTTTTAAATTGGAGCTTCCTGTACACTCTGCAACAGCACAGTTTTCTCAACATTGTACAGCAATCAAGGATGAACATATTTCATAATCAAAATTGCTAATAGTAGCACAGATTTGCTAAAACAAAAATTTCTCACATTATTTCATGTTTTATTTTTCTGAGAAACATGGACAGTAAGTCCTCAGCTTACAAACATGTTGAGAATCTTCTGTATTGTGTATAATATCATTATTGTACACAATGTAGAAGTTCTCAAATGTGTTCTTAAGTTGAAGACTTAATGTATTATGAATATTATAACTGTACAGAAGATTCTCAAAGTGTTTGTAATTCGAGGACTTACTGTGTAAATTCTTCACTGCTACAGATGCGGCTTGTGTATAACATGTCAAACTGGGACGAAAAGAAACCAGGAATTTACCATGGTCATCTTGCATACTTAGATTTTAATAGGTAAGTTGAATGTTCAGTTATGTTCATTTTCATTTGTTACTGAACATTGCTGGAATGATAAAGGTTATTGCCAGATTAAGGTTTTAGTACATTAACCCATAAACTGTCCAAACGTATATATATGTTCACTACCCCGGTGCCCCGAATATTTTGAAAAGTAAAAAAAAAAATTTTTAATGAAAATCTAAGTGTTATAGGCTAAAAAAAATTAGGGTCAGTACTTAGAGATATGAGGCCGAGAAGTTGGCACTGGATGCTCACGTGACGGCAACATCGAGTCCTGCCGCTTGCAGAAGTATTGCCGATATGTATATCTCTTTTTCTATTTTTCATATTATTTTATATAATTTTTATGTTCTGATAATTACAATTTATAGTAGTTCTTGTCATTTCATAACCAATCTTTGTTCTGACACTAGTATTAGGTACTGAAATTGTACTCAAATTGTCACACACTGACAGGTGGACATTTACACCTGCCTTGGCCATTTACTGTTGTCTTGGAATACAGTTGACCCTCAACTAACAGCGGCATTAAGTAATGGCAATTTCGTCTAACTGCGCTTTTTGCCGTAGAAAAAAATGCCTTAACCAGTGGCAAAAAACTTAACCAATGACGTTCGTCCAGAACATGTCCCCAGCCACTCCAAGACTCAGTGTGCCATTGTTTACAAGCTGTTGCGGTCGGTTTCCACGTGTGCCTCCCATACATTTTGGATTATTCCACTGTTTCTAGTGCTTGTAACTGCTAAATAAGCCACCATGGGCCCAAAGAAAGCTTCTAGAGCCAGCCCTTTGGTAAAGGATGTGGGAAACACGATAGAATTCAAGAAAAAGTTTGTAGAAAAATACGAAAGTGGTGGTGGTAGTGATGGTGGTAGAGGGTGGTAGTGATGGTAGTAGAGGGTGGTACTGGTTGTGATGGTGGTAGAGGGTGGTCCAGTGATTCTCAAGCTGGTTCTGGTGGCATTAAAAAACCAAGAAGGGAGGTAACCCCACCAAAGGACTGGGTACCTGAAGTCTTTATGGAAGGGGATTCTCCTTCCAAGCAATAGACAATCCTGAATTTCCCCTGCTGCTGGCACATCACTCATCAACAACTCTACAATATAGGTAAGTGGCATTTAATTATTGTTTATTTTGCATGTCCCATTCCTTTCCATATAAGGAAATGTATATTTCATGTAAAAAAAAAAATTCAGACTTTGGGGTGTCAGGCATGGATTAATTCTATTTCCATTATTTCTTATGGGGAAAACTAACTCTACCCAAGGCAATTTCGACGAACGGCAAGCCCTCTGGAACAGATTAATGCCATTGGTTGAGAGTCCACTGTATATACAAAGTACAGTAGGGCCCCACTTATTCGGCGGGTTAGGTTCCAGGCTGTTGCCGGAAAGCAGACATTGCTGGAAGGCAGAACGCCATTTTTTTCCATTTATAAATGCATATAAATGCCAGACAACAAGTTTACACTAAATTATATTAAGTTAGTAATAGAACTAGGCATTAAAAACACACAAAGTAATATACAGTCACAGTAAATTCATTACTTACCTTAAAGTATTTGTAATCTTAATGTAGGGAGAGACTTTGAGCCCTATTTTCAGCCAATTCCGTTGTTCCAGTTGACCAAACTCATAGCTATTTCTTTAGAACTCCATTTTATCTATCAGCTGAGTACAAGAAACCTCCCATTTACCAATTTGGACTACCCAATATGGTGGTCAGAAATTGGCAATTTGGCCAATTTCATTCAAACTAAAAAAGATGCCAATTTCAAAATAGGGTCCAGAATAAACAAGGTAGACATTCTTGACACTAAAATAACATATCCTCTGTTCATTAGCCACATTTCTAGGCCCCTCTTATATTATTATTGCTTTCTATTTTGACTTTTTATTCATACAAAAAAAATACAAAATTTACTGTTATGCAGACTACTGCATTATTGTAAAAATTGTATAAATAATATCAGTGCACTAGTAAAAGAATATTAGACTCCCCAGTTGACGTGTATTGGATGTGTGGTGTGATTTGTTTACTCCTGAACATTGGTAAAAATAAAACATTTCCGCTACTTTGAGCTCAGTTTCAAGGTCGTTTTCATTGTCAAAGTAATGAAAATCATCTCTATTTCTGTAATATGTTTTCCATTTTATCACCTAAGACCATGAAAATGCAAATACATCGATAAATACTATATGAAAATGCACCTCAAAGTCGGCGTTTTAATCCAAAAAAACGATGTTTTTTTTTCTCATTACGCACTGTGTGTTGCAGGATTTTTTTTATGTGGTGCACACTGACCACACAGACCCATTCTCTCACATGTGGGCCTACCAGCTTTTTTCTGCTTGATTTGAAGCCGCTAGAATTATTGAGTATATATACGTCAGAAGCAGTGGCGCGTAAGACGTATTTATACGGCGTAAACAGTCAAAGGGTTAACAACATGTATGTTATTAAATACCACTGCCTCCACCACTTTATAATAATAATAATAATAATAATAATAATAATAATAATAATAATAATAAATGTTATTCATAATGTACTATTATTATTTATAACATATATGTTAGTAAATCTAGGTAGTAGGTTGGTAGACAGCAACCGCCCAGGGAGGTACTACCGTCCTGCCAAGTGAGTGTAAAACGAAAGCCTGTAATTGTTTTACATGATGGTAGGATTGCTGGTGTCCTTTTTTCTGTCTCATAAACATGCAAGATTTCAGGTACATCTTGCCACTTCCACTTACACTTAGGTCACACTACACATACATGTACAAGCATATATATACACACCCCTCTGGGTTTTCTTCTATTTTCTTTCTAGTTCTTGTTCTTGTTTATTTCCTCTTATCTCTGTGGGGAAGTGGAACAGAATTCTTCCTCCGTAAGCCATGCGTGTTGTAAGAGGCGACTAAAATGCCGGGAGCAAGGGACTAGTAACCCCTTCTCCCGTATAAATTACTAAATTTAAAAAGAGAGACTTCAGTTTTTCTTTTTGGGCCACCCTGCCTTGGTGGGATACGGCCGATGTGTTGAAAGAAAGATGTTAGTAAATATCACTGCCTCTACCACTGCCTCAACTGCTGCCTCACCCACTGCCTCTACCACTGCCTCTATCACTGCCTCTACCACTGCCTCTACCACTGCCTCACCCACTGCCTTTACCACTGCCTCTACCACTGCCTCTACCACTGCCTCTACCACTGCCTCAACTGCTGCCTCTACCACTGCCTCACCCACTGCCTTTACCACTGCCTCTACCACTGCCTCAACTGCTGCCTCACCCACTGCCTCTATCACTGCCTCACCCACTGCCTCTATCACTGCCTCTATCACTGCCTCTACCACTGCCTCTATAACTGCCTCTACCACTGCCTCAACCACTCCAGTCACGCTCAATCTACAAGCACCAAATACAATGAATTATTGTGAAATGTTTGGAAGAGCACAGAGACTAATACTCACTCCAGCATAAACAAAGCCACACTGATGATGCGTCAGCCACTTCCTCCACCACTGCTTCAACCCTCGTATTTTTGTACAATTTCCTTCTTCAATTCTATCGTATTATTATTATTATTATTATTATTATTATTATTATATTAATATTATTATTATTATTATTATTATTAGCAGTAGCAGAAATGTTTGATTCTTTGCTGTGTTCAAGAGTAAACACATGATGTCACCTTCCAATACCTGTCCGAATAGCCATTATAATATGCAGTCATAAATGGGTTTACATTATTTATACTGTAGTTTAATAGCAAATAATGAACAAACAAAACACTCACCACACAGTGGTGGGAGGGCTGGCTGCCAGTTGTGGGGGTCGGAGGGAGGGTAGTAAGGACTCGTGGCGGTAAACTTAAATATGATTTGGCGGTTGGGAATTCGCGAATGTGTGAAGCCCGCGAATGTTGAGGGAGACCTGTACTAATGATGCTATTATACACATGCTAGAACATATATACACTGCAATAGAGGAAAAAGAAGTCCCACTGGGGATCTTCATTGACTTAACGTAAAGCTTTTGATACAGTTGACCATGACTTGCTCCACATAAAATTGTCACACTATGGTATAAGAGGGCACTCCCTCAACTACCTCAAGTCATACCTCAGCAACAGAAACCAATATGTGTATGCAAATGGGGCAAACTCTTCCGCACAGCCAATTACAGTTGGTGTCCCACAGGGAAGTGTCCTTGGCCCTCTTCTCTTTCTCATATACATAAATGACTTTCCAAATGCATCGCAACTACTCAAACCCACACTATTTGCAGATGACACTACATACGTCTTCTCTCACCCGAGTCCAGCCATGCTAGCCAATACTGTGAATACCGAATTACAGAGAATATCTACCTGGATGAGAACTAACAAACTTATTCTAAACATTGACAAAACTTACTTCATTCAGTTTGGTAACAGAGCTACAGATGACCTTCTTAACATAATGATAAACGGATCACCTATCACAAAGCTAACAGAGGGAAAATTCTTAGGAATCCACCTTGATAATAGACTCAAATTTCAAACACATATACAACAAATTTCCAAGACCGTAGGCATACTATCGAAGATACGGTACTATGTTCCACAGTCAGCCCTCCTGGCCCTATATCACTCACTTATTTACCCCTATCTCACCTATGGAATTTGTGCATGGGGCTCTACAACAATAAACCATCTCAGACCACTAATTACCCAACAAAAGGCTGCAGTCAGAATGATAACAAATTCCCACTACAGGCAGCACACTCCACCAATATTCAAAACTAAACCTGCTCACCATAAAAAACATCCATATTTATTACTGCACCTACTACATACATAGAACAATTAACTCGGATATAAACCCTCCCCTCAAACGTCTCCTTACCTGCCTCAACAGAACACATGACCATAACACAAGGCACAGATCACTCTTTGATGTTCCACCTGTCCACCTCACACTATGCAAAAACTCGATGCACATAAAAGGCCCTAAAATATGGAATTCATTACTTGTGAATATAAAAGAAACACAGTCTGTTTATAAATTCAAGTCTCTTCTCAAAAATCACTTACTCACCCATAACTAAATAAATACTGAATAATTGTATCTCATAAATTGTATCTCACAAATGTTTCTCATAATTGTATGTCATAAATGTTTAACCTATGACCCAATCAAACTTTGTTATTTTACATTACATTGCCTAACTGAATACTCCATTCTACTGAATGCTCAGCAACACAGTAAATGACCATATGACCTGTCTTTGTAATACTCATTTGTGCTTAATTGTAATCTGTTTACAATAATGTTTTACCACTGAATATATCATTGCTTAGTTAGTCTTAAGTTAACTTTAAGCCTGCCCATAATGCTCTGCATACAAGGGGCTTTGGCATGTTACACTTAATTACTGTATTCCTTTGTACTTCTCTGTATCATGTTCAAATTAATAAATAAATAAATAAATAAGTAAATAGAGTTGATATTAGCTCTATATTGAAGTATTTTCCCCTGCCTCCCGAGAGGAGGAATTCCACTGGAACAGATTAATGGCATTTCAGTTAATTTCAATAAGGAAAATTTATTTGATTTACAAGCAAATTGAGTTACGAGCTAGGTCATGGAACGGATTAAACTGGTAAGTCAAGGTACCACTGTACTCTATTTTCACATTTTTCTGTTTTTTTTTTAGACTTTTATAGGCATTATTACCCTTGTAGATTTAGTGCTTAGTTGTGTTTATAATGATATAGACATTATTACAAATAATATACTTTGTGTATGCAGGTTTGGTGTGAGCGTTCAGCCATTGTATATAAACATTGTAAGAAATCCCTTGGAACGTCTGGTGTCTCATTACTATTTCATCCGATACGGTGATGACCTCATGCCACAGCGAGTTTATAAGAAAATGGGTGACAAAATGGTAAGTTTTTCTTGTTCACTCTGGTTGATAATGCTCTTATGCACCTCTTATCCATCCTGTGGGTGGTAGTCACCACAAAACCCTCCTGTGGGTGGTAGTCACCACATAACCATCCTGTGGGTGGTAGTCTCCACATAGCCATCCTATGGGAGGTAGTCACCACATAACCATTCTGTGGAGGGTAGTTACCACATAACCATCCTGTGGAAGGTAGTTACCACATAACCATCCTGTGGGAGGTAGTCACCACATAACCATCCTGTGGAAGGTAGTTACCACATAACCATCCTGTGGGAGGTAGTCACCACATAACCATCCTGTGGAAGGTAGCTACCACACGTACAGTAAAAAAGATAAAATACTACACTAATATTTGCTATGTCAAATAATCTGTTTACTCTCTTGACACAACTATTATTGTAGTGAGATGGTAAAGGAGATTGTAAGGTTTGAAGACAATTGAATGAGGCATTCACAAATTATAGCATAAAAATCAGAGACAACACAGTAAGTTTCAGGTGCCCAAGACTGTTTCAGTTGCATACATAAGGGGGATTACCAGTAGATCCCAGCTGTCTTCAAGAGGGAACTGGACAGACTCCTAAAGTCAGTACCTGACCAGCCAGGCCATGGTTCCTACGTTGGTTTACGTGCAACCAGCAGTAACAGCCTGGTTGATCAGGTCTTGATCTACCATGAGGCCTAGGCATGGACCAAGCTATGGGGATATTGACCCCCAGGACAACCTTTGGGTATACTTCAGTTAAATTGTCCCAATTTCTTAATAAAATTGGCAAATTGGACCTGCACAACCTAATATCAATTTAAACTTTTCTCTAAGATGCATCAATGTTTTAAGGTTTGAAGTCTATCAGAAGAGGCATTATCCAGTTAATGCATTAAAACTAATTTGTTGTTAAAACTGGCAAATTAAAACTTAAATAAGTCAAAATAAATACAAAAGTTCCTTTGAGAACAATACAACAATGCTAAAAGTCTGAATGTGACTACAAGATGATATATTCTTCAATTATGTCACAGTATACAACAATTCCAAGTTTATTATCTGGAGTTTATCTGGAGAGAGTTCCGGGGGTCAACGCCCCCGCGGCCCGGTCTGTGACCAGGCCTCCTTAGGTCAGTGTCCCAGGATGCGACCCACACCAGTCGACTAACACCCAGGTACCCATTTTACTGATGGGGAACATAGACAACAGGTGGAAAGAAACACGTCCAATGTTTCTACTCTGGCTGGGAATCGAACCCAGGCCCTCGCCGTGTGAAGCGAGAGCGTTAACCACCAGGCCACCAAAAAATTTTCATATATGAAGCCTAGACCAAAAAGATATTTTCATAAGATGAATCATTTATTACACATTACACAAATAACTGGCACATATACTCGTTCTCTACCTTCATGCTTCTCTGTGACTAGTTAATGGTCCAAATGGGACTGAAACATTGACATAAGTTTCTCCTATGTGCGGGTTATTTGTGTGTTGTTCCAATCACAATATTGTGACTTATTTCTGTTCAGTAAAGATTGAAGATGTTCAGAAGAGACTTGCTCAGTTTATTTCAGGGGAAAAAATAGCATACCATTTAAGAATTAAAATCAGCATATTGGCACTTGGATTACCCAAGATTGTTATTAATGAAGATATCCACTTCATCTAAGTGTCATTTACAGTGGACCCCCGGTTAACGATATTTTTTCACTCCAGAAGTATGTTCAGGTGCCAGTACTGACCGAATTTGTTCCCATAAGGAATATTGTGAAGTAGATTAGTCCATTTCAGACCCCCAAACATACACGTACAAACGCACTTACATAAATACACTTACATAATTGGTCTCATTCGGAGGTGATCGTTATGCGGGGGTCCACTGTACTCCTAAGTTAAAATATACAAATAACCTGCATGTAGGTGAAAGAAACTTATGATGATGTTTCAGTCTAACTTTGGCCATTAACTGAACAATCTATGATGAATGAGCCTGCATATAATTTTTTTTTTTTTTTTTTTTTTTTTTTTTTTTTTTTTTTTTTTTTTTTTTACATATCGGCCATTTCCCACCAAGGCAGTGTGACCTGAAAAAGAAGAAATACTTTCATCATCATCATTCACTCCATCACTGTCTTGCCAGAGGTGTGCAGATACTACAGTTCAAAAACTGTACCATATCCCTAGAGCACTGGTACTGTACTTCACACCTCTAAGAATAAAGGCTGGCTAACCAGTTTTCCTGAATCCCTACATATATGTTAAAAACATGTAGTTTACTTAAACAGTACTACACATGTGTTTTAAAAATTTCAGACTTTAGATGAATGTGTAGCCTTGCAGCATCCAGACTGCTCAACTAACCATTTATGGATGCAGATTCCCTTCTTCTGTGGTCATCTTGCTGAGTGCTGGTAAGTTTGACACTCATATACTCTGAATGCTCCTGGATGAGCCTTAAGGATTTTATTGTATTATTGATGGTATACAATACCAACATGTTGATGAACATAAGAAAGAGCACTGCAGCAGGCCTACTGGTCCATGTTATTTTTAATACTGCACAGTTTTAGCTTCATTGACATTTCTCAGGAGTTTGTTCCACTCATCCACAACTCTGCTACCAAACCAATGCTTTCCTATATTCTTTATAAATCTAAATTTTTCTAACTTGAATCAGACACGTATGGAACACTGTTGTATCTTTATTGCTGGAATGAGGGGCTCTTGATCCAGAGAATTAGAGCTATTCTCACTTTCCTTGTATTGAGTCTGATTGCCTCCTATTCCCCCTGGTGCTGTATGACCCCTGGAGGTTCAGCACTTCTTCTGACTAGTAGGAATATTCTAATAAAGCTTTAATGATAGATTATAAGTGCTCCTCAACTTACAATGGGGTTAAGTTCCGACGAACCTGTCATAAGTTGAAAATGTTGTAAGTCAAATGTGAATATGATATGCTAAATATATAAATAACTACTGTCACTGAATAAGTAAATAAACAAAAAATTACTGTAACCAAATACCAGTATTGAAAAGTAAATAAATGAACACAAGTTACAGACTTTCTGCCTTCACGGTGGCCCGTGGCCTGGTAGCAAAGCTCTCGCTTCACACCTTGAGGGTCTGGGTTTGATTCCCGGCAAGGGTGGAAACATTAGGCATGTTTTCTTACACTGGTTCTCTATGTTCACCCATCAGTAAAAGTGGGCATCTAGGAGTTAGTTGACTGGTGTGGGTCACATCCTGGGACAAAATTGACCTAATTTGCCCAAAATGCTCTGCATAGCAAGTGGCTTTCTATATAGTAGTATTTCATTGATGTCAGCTAGACCTTATTACCTTGTACATATGCTTGTAGAAATAAAGATATTATTATTATTATTATTTTTTTCAACAAATCGGCTGTCTTCCACCGAGACAGGGTGACCCAAAAAGAAAGAAAATCCCAAGAAAGAAAATACTTTCATCATCATTCAACACTTTCACCTCACTCACACATAATCACAGTTTTTGCAGAGGTGTCCAGAATACAACAGTTTAGAAGTATATACATATAAAAATACACAATATACCCCTCCAAACTGCCAATATCCCAAACCCCTGCTTTAGAGTGCAGGCATTGTACTTCCCATTTCCAGGACTCAAGTCTGGTTATATAAAATAACCGGTTTCCCTGAATCCCTTCACTAAATATTACCCTGCTCACACTCCAACAGCTCGTCAGGTCCCAAATACCATTTGTCTCCATTCACTCCTATCTAACACGCTCACGCACGCTTGCTGGAAGTCCAAACCCCTCGCCCACACCACCTTTACCCCCTCCCTCCAACGTTTTCGAGGACAACCCCTACCCTGCCTTCCTTCCCCTACAGATTTATACGCTCTCCATGTCATTCTACTTTGATCCATTCTCTCTAAATGACCAAAGCACCTCAACAACCCCTCTTCAGCCCTCTGACTAATACTTTTATTAACTCCACACCTTCTCCTAATTTCCACACTCCGAATTTTCTGCATAATATTTACACCACACATTGCCCTTAGACAGGACATCTCCACTGCCTCCAACTGCCTCCTCGCTGCAGCGTTTACAGCCCAAGCTTCACACCCATATAAGAGTGATGGTACTACTATACTTTCATACATTCCCTTCTTTGCCCCCATAGATAACATTTTTTGCCTCCACATATACCTCAATGCACCACTCACCTTTTTTCCTTCATTAATTCTATGAATAACCTCATCCTTCATAAATCCATCCGTTGACACATCAACTTTCAAATATCTGAAAACATTCACTTTTTCCATACTCCTCCTCCCCAATTTGATATCCAATTTTTCTTTATCTAAATCATTTGATACTCTCATCACCTTACTCTTTTCTATGTTCACTTTCAACTTTCTACCTATTATTATTATTAGTAGTAGTAGTAGTATTAATGCTGGGTAATTATCTCAAGTTTCCTCTGCAAAGTAATTGGTATTGTACCATCATGAAGTTTAAATATTATAAGTTGAGAAACACCTGTATATCTGTCTAGATTGCTTAGTTCCTTTTCTTTCAGGGTCCCGGGTTCAAGTTGGGCTCTGGAACTGGCTAAGCATAACTTAGTACATAATTATTTCCTTGTTGGAGTTACTGAAGAATTAGAAGATTTTGTGGCTATGCTGGAATATACACTTCCACGCATGTTTAAAGGTGCTCTGGATCTCTATGTCTCAGGTGAGGACTGATTACAGTTTGAATAACATTAATGTTTTATTTTTGTTGCACTCTGAAGGACGGGTAGTGATTTGTTGCAGTTTTTGTACTGTAGTATCGGCACACCTTAGGAAAGACAGTGATGGAGTGAGTGAGCGATGATTTTTTTTTTTTTGGGGGGGGGGAGTGTCACCCTGCCTTGGTAGGAAATAGCCAGTGTGTTAAAAGAAAATGTTTTATTTTTGTTGCATTGGATAAACCTTCAGTGCTGTCAAAGAATTCACTAATTTCTACATCTTGTTGATAGACGTACCTATAGAAAAATAGTTTATCACCGGATCATTAATATTCATTATTCTTTTATCACAACTGCCATTTCCCACCTGAGTCAGGTGATCTTGAGAAGGAAATATATTCAGCATCATTCACTCCGTAACTGTCTTGCCATAGGTGCACAAACATCACAATTTACATTTTTTTTAACACATTGTCTGTCTCCCACTGATGCAGCGTGACCCGAAAAAGAAAACGCTTTCGCAATCATTCACACTGTCACCATCTTGCCAGAGGCACGGTCAGAGGCTCGAAGATACGACAGCTTAAATGTCGCTCTGGTATAAGCCTTGGTAATAAATACTGACAAGCTGCTTAGGAAAACACATAAGCAAACACTAGGACATATTTATTAGAAAATGTTTCATTCCTGAGACCTTGATCACTTCTAACACACAGAGGATAAAAGACATTGTACAGTATGTAGATGGAGAGCGAGGATGAGGATGGGTAGACGATGAGGTCATGTGACTCCTATGTTGCTGGGTAGGTGGTACTTTGCCTGGTTGAGAATCATGTATGCTAAAGTTTTTGAAATTTTATGCTTTCCAGTGTTACATTCTATTGTGTTTGTGATGGTGATTACGAGGCTTCTAGGCACCATCGGTGTCTAAGGTCATGTTCGGTGAGAATGAATTGTGCCTCATCCCAGTTCATCAGATGCCTCGTGGAGTAGTCTCTGTGGAGGACACAGGCATATCTTAAGTCATCTGTTACTGACATTTTGTTGTTCATTCAGACAGACCGCAAGATCTCCGCCTGTTTCACCTACATATTTCTTGGGACAGAATCCACAGGGGATGGTGTAGATGTCTGCTGTGGAAGTTAGAGGTGTGAGGCTGCGTTTCATAGTGAGGGCTTTGATAGATGATGTGTTTACGGTAAAAACATTCATGTTACTTGTAGCAAGTGCCAGGTGAGTATTCATGGCAACATCACCACATGGGATACATCCAAGCGCTCAGGGACTTGGCTAACAACGATGATATCATCATTACTACCTCTGACAAACGAGGTGGTGTGGTGTTACTCAACACTGTCGACTACAGCAATAAAGTTTTAAATCTCCTTAGTGATGCCAACACATACCAGCCTGTTTCAGAATCAGTGTTACTTCCAAGCACCCAAACTTTTCTTCAAAAGGCCCATAGCATCTTACAAAAATCAGACCAAGGCAAGAAACTAAAGCTTTTACCAGGTCAACCGAAACCAGCACGCCTGTATGGCCTACCTAAAATACACAAGCCTGGCATCCCACTATGTCCTATCACTTTGGGCATAGGGAGTGCACCACACAGATTAGCTGGCCACCTTACCAAATACCTTTCAGCACTTTGGCCGCCACCAGTCAAGCCTACCTCAAACACTCCAGTGACCTTCTCTCTCGAATTTCCAACCTGAATGTTAAAAACAAAAGCATGGCTTCCTCTTTACCAATGCCCCTACTGATGTTGCAGTAAACATTCTGAGACAGAGGCTCACTGAAAACCACGACCTCCCTTTACCTCTTCTAGATTTCATCAGTCTAGTGGAGCTCTGTGTTAATGTCAACTTCTTCAAATATCAGGACAACTGTTACAAACAGTGCTTTGGGATGGCAACGGGCAGCCCGCTCAGTGCTGTGCTTGCCAACCTCTTCATGGAAAACCTAGAGACAGAGAAGTTCAGCACCCTTATTCTAAACACCGTTACCTGGCTAAGATACGTTGATGATGTATTGGTTTTCTACCCGAAACGTTTCAATATCCAGGCCCTCCTCAGCAAGTTCAATGCATCCAAACCATCAATAAAGTTTACACTTGAATTCAAAAAAGATAGCAAACTTCCTTTCCTTGATGTCCTCCTGTGCAGATCTCCCAGCAGTGACAAACCTCTCTTCAAAGTGTATAGAAAACCTACCAACAAGGACGATCTTGTACACTTATATTCACACCAAGACACCTGCACTAAAAGAGGATTCCTCATTGGCTTTTTCTTGAGAGCTGTTCACATCTCCAGCCCTTTCCTTGAAGAAGAATGTATCTACATAACACAAGCCTTTACACATCTTCAGTTTCCATCTTTCTTCATCCAGGATTGCAGACTCAAGGCACAAGCTATCCTCAACAAACCGCCCATGGAACAGCCGTCTAAGCAGTTCATAGTGCTCCCGTGTAGTGATGTTGCCACGAATACTCACCAGGCACTTGCTAAGAGTAACATAAATGTTTCTACCATAAATGCATAATTTATCAAAGACCTCACTACGAAATGCAGCCTCACACTCTAACTTCCACAGCAGGTGTCTACACCATTCCTTGTGAATTCTGTCCCAAGAAATGTGTAGGTGAAACAGGCAGAGATCTTGCGGTCCATCTGAACGAGCATCGAAATGCCAGTAACAGAGATGACTTAAGATACGTCTGTGTCTTCCACAGAGACTCCATGGGGCATTTCATGAACTGGGATGAGGCACAACCCGTTCTCACCGAACATGACCTTAGGTGCTGATAGTGTCTAGAAGCCTTGCTAATTGCCATCAATGACACAATAGAACATAACACTGGAAACCACAAAATTTCTAAAACTTTAGCATACATGATACTCAACCAGGCAAAACGCCACCTACAGGAGTCATATGATCTCATCGTCTAATCATTTTCATCCCAATATGGCATTCTTCAGGTCACCATGCATCACTCACACCTCACTCTCCATCTATATACACTGTCTTTTAACCTCTGTGTGTTAGAAGTGATCAAGGTCTCAGAACTGAAATGTTTTCTAATAAATATGTCCTAGTGTTTGTTTAGGTGTTTTCCTAACCAAATGTCACTAAGCAGCAAATATCCCTATCCCTCCTTTAGAGTGCAGGCACTGTACTTCCCACCTCCAGGACTCAAGTCTGGCTAACTGGTTTTCCTGAATCCCTTCACAAAATATTACTTTGCTCACACTCCAGCAACAGGCTTTGGTGCCTACACAGGAATACATGTCATAAGCACCAAGAGCTTGACCGACTTTTCCATCAGTCAAGAGCCTTAATCTAAGCCCAGACTAAGGGAGCAGTGAACCTTGGTACCATTTATGGGTAAAATAGTCTTAAAATATGCCTGAGAGGCAGGCTGACATCCATCTCATGGCCCATCATGATTCACGAAATCATAATAACAATTACAAACAAACTGTGGAATGTGGCTAGCCTGGAGGTTTAGGACTTGTTTGTCATGTGTTCAGTCCCCACCTGTTTCATGTTTTTTTTTTTATTTTTTATGGTCCAAATTGTAATTTACCATCATTTCAGTATATGTTGACTTGTAATTGCATGTTTGGTGTTAAGGTGTGAATGAATGTGATTATTCCTTACACAGAATGGAGAAGAATTTGATGTTTATGGAGAGTCTGATGCTGAAGAATGTTGAAGAAAGTGAGAATTTAATTTATTAGTAATATGGAACAGAGGTCAAAGAGAGCTGTATTTTTCACAGATAACCCCCACACAGTAGAGAGATGCTCAGAATGATGTCACTTTGGCTTTGTAAATGGTCCAAGTTGGACCGAAACATCATCCTGAGCTTCTCTCTCCTATGTGCGGGTTATTTGGTATTGTTCCAGTCACAGTATTGTGCCTTTTTTGTTCTTTATTTTTCAGTCTTGGTCAGAGACCTTCTTTAGCAAAATGAGGTCAATATGTATACTACTTCTTTATTACCTGTTTCTCATATTTCTACCCTAGTTAGTTCTCACTTTGCATCAGTCATTGTTAATCATACTTTAAGCATTGCAGAAAAATTTTCAATATCCTCTTTGCTTTTGTTTTTTACAGGTTCAAAATCTCATATAAGAAAAACCTCAAAGAAGATAATGCCTTCTGACGAAACTATAGCAAAACTTCAGAATACAAAGGTAGTTACATTTTTCATTCAGAAACAGAGTATTTCTTAACTACTGTTCTTGTTGAGGATGTAGTGTAGCTACATGCAGACTCTGCTTGAAGGGTTACCTTGATAAGATAGGATTTGTTAGGATTTTCAACCCAGAGTGTTAGCCACCCATGATAACCCAAGAAAATCAGTGCATCATCAAGGACTATCTTATTTCCATTGTGGCCTTTCAGTCTTGTCCTCCAGGATGCCACCCACACCAGTCCACTAACACCAAGGTACTATTTACTGCTAGGTAAACAGTGAAAGCATATGTAAGGAAACACCCAGCATTTCCACCCATGTTGGGGATCGAACCACGGACACTCAATGTGTGAGGCCAGAGTGTTGTCAACCAAGCCACAGGATTCATGGTAAAAGACTCATGATCTGAGGAAATGGAGCAGTCTTCCCCTTGGATCAAATCTAATAACCTCTCATTCCCCAGGTGTTATATTAGGTTTAGCTTCCTCATTAATGTAATAATCTGTTGATTTAGGAGAATTTTGTATGAGGTAAAGAATTCACAGCTTTTCTTTGGAATGGATGAAAGAAAAAAAGATTTTGTAGAACAGTACACACTGGTCTCATACCGGGCTGAAGGGGCGTTGAACCTCGAAACCCTCTCCAGGTATACTCCATTTATGAAAAGCATATGTGCTGTGTATTACAAGTTACGAAGTGGAGCAACTGCTGTTAGCTTCTGAGAACACTCTCCTTGTACACTGTATAATACTGGACACAATATTGTGATCAAGAAAAAAGAAAAACTAGAAATGTGAGCTTGAGAATTATTATATACTGTATAGCCATTCCCATTGATCATTTTCCAGCAGAGCCAGAAAATGATGCTAACTACTATTGCTCATTCATTAGCTGTTGTGCCAGAACTACACAGATATTGAAACTGAAATGACCCTCTGTATAGTATATTGTGGAAATCAACCCTATACAGTGTGTGAAAACAAAACTCGTTACAAAAACTGAACTCTTAAATTTATAATCCAATTTGTCTTTGTCTAATTAGTTGTCTTATTTTAAGTCGAGATTAAAAATAGATGTATGGAACGGCCGAGCCATGAAATCATAATTTAGAATTCAATAGTCTGTCTCACTGACCTCTAACTTATTACAATAATTTACTGTATTATATATGATTTTTCCCATGTGGCTTTTAAGTCTTAAGAAAATCTACTTTTTGATGTTCTTACATCTACATTTAATATATTTGAACTTGCAAAAGAACCATGGGGGGGGGGAGATGAATGATATGCCTTTTGTGTTGCAGTCAACACATCAGGAGCTTGCAGTGTTGCAGAAATTAGTAAAAAGTCCAAGAAGATTTGTTCAGGGGAACATTTCATTCCCTGAACAAATTTGCTTGGACTTCCTACTTATTTCTGCAACATTGCAATCTCCTGATGTGTTGGTTGCATCACAAAAGGCCTAGAGCTATCATTCAACTCCCCCTGTAATTGTTTAGCATGTTGTATCACTTGTTCATGAGTATTGCACATTTAAGCTTATTTACCTCATTCAAAATAAATATAATTTTCCACTTAGGTATTTGTCTTTGCAGGTCTGGAGAATGGAAAATGAATTCTATACTTTCGTTCTGGACCACTTTCATTTCATTCGTAAGAAGACCCTTATAGAAGCAGCAAATGGTGGTGGCCTTGTGGATAGAGGACAGAATTTTGAATATGGTAAAATTAAGCCCAGGAAAAGCTAAGTAGTGTTATAAAAAAAAAACTGAAATTAATGGTGCTATATAGGATAAGCAAACTCATTAGGAAATGTGATTCTTTTTAGGTGCTTGACTTTGATAGTTTTGTATACCAGAGAGTTAGTCTCCACTTTGACTTACCCACAAGTGCCTCATTAACATTCTGATAACTCTAGTATTACACTTAAGTATGACAGATATGGCGGCACATAAGAGACAAACTTTGGAAATTATCTAGACATTATGTACATAAATTTATACTTCTGTAAGAAGTATTAAAGTTTTCAGTATAATTTCCATCTTGTTCCATGAAGTGCATTGGAATAGTGGAAGGAAAAAGATGATTCTGTGAATCACTCTTCAATACTTGAGCTGCCACACTTTGCTCTGCAACCCATCCTCAGGCCTCACCTCTTACAAATATGAAGATTTGAACATTTTGTATTTTTGCTGCCTAGACACCCTACGATTAGATGTGTCATGCCAAGTTTTTCTTTGAATTTTTTTTAATGTCCACCCCAAATTTTAGATCATTCAGGAGTTCTTGGTAAAATACAGGAGAGCCCCATTTGTATGACTTAAGTTCCTGACCCTGTATGGTAAGCGAAAATCACCAGTGGGTGGAAGAGTATTTTTTAATGATAATGTGTTTACACTGTCATATATTAAGTGTTCAATACAGCTAGGCGTAAAAGCATATAAAAAGTAAAATAAATACACAGTACATACAATACTTTTTTTTTTTTTTTAGCCGTGATGGTGAGTGCAGGCCCAAAATTTGCCTGCTGGGACGGCTGGCCTCTTGGTTGCTTCTCACCCATTATCTGCTGAGAAGTCCTTCCTTATGACTATTACTACCAGGGGTTATGCAGCCCTAAAGCCAACCCACTGGTTATGCATTCTCCACTGTACTATGGAACCTTCAAAGGCCTTCACAACATACAATTCAACTTTAGAAGATGGTATACATAATTCTTTCTTGAGTATCTTGTATGTTTGTGGGGACATTGCTCCTCTGCAGATGATTATCACTGCTCCAAGGACAACTTCTTGAGGGTGAATGGGCTGTGCGTCGATGATGGTAAGCTGTGACTCAGCATTGTCTTGTGATGTATTGTAGAGATGAAGCTGCTGGGTCGCCCAATGGGCAGCCCAGCTCCTAATCTGGCCAATATCATAGTACTTGGCCTTCTGCTGTTGATACTGATCCGCCATGGACGCGATGTTAGAGTCTCTCACAATCTTCACGTCGAGCACGAAAGCCTTCCTGTTTTCCAAATCACAAATCAGCAAGTCAGGCTTTCGTGTATCAAGCACTGTTGGTATCTGCGGCTCCTTAGCCACAGCATGCTTCTTTGCCACACAATCCACAGCGATGGCATCCACCATGTTATCATGTCGGACCCATTGCTCATGGAGTCTTGGACAAACCTGCAGAAGGTGCCCCAGGGACTCATGTTGATCACAACCTTCACAGGTTGCATTTATTTGTCTTTGTCCTCTTGCATGCCTTGTTTTAGTTGGCATTAAATTATGTTTGATATTCAAGGCATCATTATACATGGCCCCCTTCATGAGGCTCGTTCCATTCGTCATCCATCTATGGACCTGCTGGACGAAATGATGTTCCTTCAGTCCCGTGCCATCTACCAAACCCACCAAAACATTCACCTATTCCTTAAGCTCCTACCGTCTAGTCGTTACGACAACATTCCTCACTTTACTTTGTCCAACAAACCATAATGCCTTAAGGGTGTTCGGGTGTAAGGCTAGGTTCTGTATTACGCGATCTTCTGGATTGTGGAACGCAGCAAGCCAGTTCCTCCGCAATATCGGAACCCTTGTTGACAGATACACCCTCGACCCCCCGCAGCTGCCGGTGCATAATAAACACCAATTGATGTATCTTTTGGTAGCTTCAGCCATTTCTTCATCTGCCTGATCAATTTGTCAGACATCCTCAAGGTATCCTGACAGACACCACCCAGCACCATAATATATATGATGCCAGGAATCAGGTGTTTATTTAATATACAGTGGACCCTCAGCTAACGATATTAATCCGTTCCAGAGAGCTCATCGTTAGACAAAATTATCGTTAGCCGAATTAATTTTCCCCACAAGAAATAATGGAAATCCAATTAATCCGTTCCAGACAACCAAAAGTATTAAAAAAAATAATTGTAGGGAAATATACATTTCCCTACAATTATGCCACTTTGTAGGGAAATATACATTTCCCTACAAAGAAAACAATGAGACATGCACAATAACTACATAAATAAATGTTAAAATGACACTTACCTTTATTGAAGAGTATTGATGAGTGATGAGACACTGCTTTTCTTGAACAGTCTAGGATTTTCAGAGTGATACCTGAGTAAAGGCTTCACTTTACAATCTCCACTAGCATTACAACAAAACAAGAAAGTTAGCCTGTCTTTCATAGGCTTGTGTCCTGGGAGTGCCTTTTCCTTCTGAGTAATGTAGGTCCTGTTTGACATTTTCTTCCAGAACAGGCCTGTTTCGTCACAATTGAACACTTGTTGGGGTTGAAATTTTTCAGCTTCACCATGTCTTATCACACTGTGTATGCCACTATGGTTCTTAAATTTCTCAAACCAACCTTTGCTGGCCTTAAATTTACCAATATGAGCACTAGTTCCAGGCATTTTTTTCTGTTCACCTGGGTTTTAGTTGACTGGTGTGGGTCACATCCTGGGGGACAAGATTAAGGAGCCCAATGGAAATAAGTTAGACAGTCCTCAATGACACACTGACTTTCTTGGGTTATCCTGGTTGGCTAACCCTCTTTGGTTAATTGTGTCTAGGTAATTGTTTCTCGTTAAGCCACGCCAACAACAGTCTCTCCACATCTTCAAGTAGTACAGCTGACGGTGGTGCAGCAGCAGCTGACCACGGTACGATAGTATTTCTCACCCTTTTTACCATGGGGTTGGCACTAGAAGCTTTCTTTGGGCCCATGGTGGCTTATTTAGCAGTTACAAGCACTAAAACCATTGGAACAATACAAAATATATCGAATGTATGCATGGAACCAGCCACCCTGGCTTGTAAACAATGATGGCAGGGCAGCTGAGGCGCTCAGGCTGGACGGACAGGTTCGGGATGAATCACGTTGGTTGAGTTTTTCATTGTTGGCCGGGCCAAAATTTTTACGCTCAAACGCTTCGTTGGACGAATTTATCGTTAGACGATGCTTTTGTTAGCCGAGGGTTCACTGTATTTTACCGTTGTTGTGGTTTTAGGGGAACTTCATCAAGCTCCACGAGTTTCTTGCGAAGCTTCTGGATGTCAGGCTTTCCCCTTCCAGCTGAAGAGAGGTGCATACCAAAGTACTTATATACTGTTGTTGTTTGAAGGGAATGTACTTGGGCTCTGTAAATCTCCATTTTATGTGTCGTGTCCACGTACCATTTCTTCATTCTTGGTACCATTTGAAGGTTTAAAGTGGCACACTTCTGTGGGTTTATTTCTAACCCTGATGCTTCCAGCTGTCTCAAAAACAGCTGCAACTCTGCATGAAGGCCTTGTTTGGACTCAGCAACCAACACAACATCATCAGGAAACACCAAGGCAGACACTTTTGACTCAGCATCAGCTATTGGCCATCCAATTTGCTCGTTTAAAGCCAACAGCGCTTCATTCATTACTTTATTAAAGAGAATGCATGAGAGGGGGTCCCCTTGCTTCACCCCTCTACACACATTCCCTTCTTTTCCCATAACCTCAGTAGATGCATCAGCATAAGTTGACATAATATAATTAATCACCAAAGGAGGTACATTGTGTATTTGTAATGCCCTTCTAACCAAAGAATGGTTTACCGAGTCTTAGGCTTTCTTTACATCTAAAAATATAGTATACAGCTGTTTTATCTTGGTTTTACTTTCGCTAATTATTGCATCTAACAACATCACATTCTGGGCCAGGCCATCTGTGGGTAGGAACGCTTTCTGTGCTACGTGGAGGGGAACCCAATTGACTCACCTCGTTGCTAATATTTTATGAAACACGCTCACAATAATACTAGATATAGCAATGGGTCTGTACTGGCCTGGTTGGTCAGGATGATCCACCTTAGGCAGCAAAACAGTTCTGGCATTTCTAAAAACCTTTGGTAAATATCCAATATACATCCAGATGTTAAACAAATCAACCCAGAACTGTTCAGGAAACATTTTCAGATCTTTAAGCATCCCTCCATCAGGACCTGGCACAGAACTGCCATTGGATGCAGCTACTGCTCTCTTAAACTCATCAACTTGCAGCTGCCATAATTGATCTCCAACAAGCATCCGCCTTGGTCTTGCATCCTCTTCAGGTGGTCTAGCAAACAAATTCAACCAAAACTCCTGTAATTGCTCTTTAGATACAGCTTGTTGTTCCGGGGCACCCAAGTGCCGCCATCTTCCTTCCAGAACCATCTTTGCACACTTGAACCTATCCTTATTATACAGCTTCTACAGATCCCTATAAGCTTGTCTTCTAGCTCTTCTTCCTCCCCTATTGTTGTTATACTGGGGAGTATTCCTTCCTTGATTTTCTTCTCTTTCATTTTTAGTAACATAAGTAAGCATAGTTTCTGCCATTTCGTCCAATACATTCTGGACAGAGGCAATACATTCATTGTTAAAACCAACCTCCCCATACCCATCCCTCATTTTCTCCACACAGTGTAACATGTTCTGTAGTTTCTGATATGTACTCAATGTATCAAGTAGGTGCTGTGTTAGTACATGTACTGTTGGAACACTCAAATTGTGGGAGATCTCAATTCCGAACTGCCCATCCCTACCCCCAATTTTGTCGTTCCCAGCCTCCTGGCGAGGAACATATTGAATCCTTTGAACACCTCCACCATCAATGACAACCTCAGACATTAATCTATCTACTAGAGCTCTATAGGACGCCACCTTCCAGTGACCCTTTATTGCCTCCACCGATCTCTTGGTGTGGGCTTCCGCCAACAACAGGTTCATCCCCGCAGGGACACCTTGTCCAACATTCCTCGCCTCTCTCAGGATCTTCATCTCTGCCATAGCCAACGTATACTCCTCCTTAGACCATCTGGTCCTCACATGGGCAACTGCCCCCTCCACATCCCTATGATATTCGTCGGGATGCTTACTCTTCTTATGGATGGACAACCCACTCCTGGTTCTACAAACCATACTACACTCAAGACATCGAAATGGAGCTCCATTACCAACAGCCGCCATCATTAAATAAAGGACCACTCAACAGAGGTAGGGTTTTGCCACACACAGAACTATAGTAAGACTCACTCACTCATATGACAACCCATACAAGCTAAATTCACATAAAAAGGCTCTGCGTGCAGCAAAATGTGCAGCTTTAGCCACAGGCTGACTGATCACCAAAGCTCTCAGCCACCATCTGCATTACTGACTCCCACCTGGAATATATCCAGAGGTACTGCACGAGGATCTTAATCACTCAAACTGAGAGAATAGAAAGTGGTGCACCAAATGCTATTCACCAAGAACAAGTGACTTCAGTTGAGCAAAGGAAGGGCGCCAGTCGCCCTTCCTTTACTCAACTATTGTGCAGAAAAGCAGTAAAAGCACTGAACATAATGAACAATGGCTCAATTGAAAGCCAACGAAAACGTGGAACTCTGAAAAGTGGATCCTCTTCAAGGGGGGCTCCTTGGCGTGGTGAAGAGGCTCTTGGTCTGAGGAATTAGACCTGTCGGTCTACTTCCTCAGACCGAACCTAATTACCCCCCCAATCCCCCGTTCCCTATGCCATCCTCCCCTTTTTCCTTTCCTCCTCCTCCTCCCCACCCCTCCCTTTTGCCCTTCCTTTTTGGCCTTTGGTGTTTTTTTTTTTTTCCCCACAGGCACGCTAGTTCCTAGGTAGGGGAAAGAGTACCGGGGTCCATCCCATTCCGTTGAGGTTCTTGGCGGTGGCGTAGTTTGCCGTGGAATTGGATTGCCTGGGATGTCTGATCCCTCTCCGGTATCCCGGAGGGTGGCTTTGGGTGTCTCTCGGGCGACGGGTGTATCTCTGGAAGCCACCTTTCAGATTCCAGGGGTGGTGGCCGAAGGAGGTATGCTTTGTGGCGGATTTCCGGCTGCCCTCTCTTTTGTCCACCGAGGTAGCTCGGCAGATGTGAGGTTGCTATCCCGGATTGCCGGTTTACTGGCATGATGGGTAGGGTATGGCGCGGCTTCGATGCTGCATCTGCGCTACTTGCGGTGCTGAGGTCCTCTTGGGCGCGGAGGGAGATTTCTGGCCCTTTCATTCCTCCTAGGAACTATCCCTCCCCGGTCCCCCCTTTTTTTATTCTTTTTTTTTTATTTTTATTTTCTTTTCTTCTTTCTTTTTTTTTTTTTCTTAAAAACAAAAAGAAAGAAGTAACCTAACCATGGCAGTCCTAGTCCATGAACCTGCTACCCCCGGGCCCCTTCTTGATACCGCACCCCGTTCTGACCCCGCCTCGTCTTTGGACCACTCTTCGGACAGTCCTCATGCCTCTGTACCTCTTCCCAGTGCTGTTTCCTCACCCGCTTCAGGTACTGAGGCCTTGACTGACTCCTTCGATTTATCTGACCTTCGCTCTTCTCTGACTATGCTTCCGGCCTCTCCCTCTATGGTGCGGCAATTTTCGAATCGCCGGCCCGTTCCACGTCGGACCAACTCTGGTCCCACGCCTAAACGCCAACGACAATTACCTGCTGATGATACTTCTCCACCTTCTCGTTCTTCTCAGAAAAGATCGACACGTCCTTCACTACCTTTCCACGCTCAGTTTCAGACTGCACAATGGACTAAATTCTTCACTTTACGACCGGCTTCCTCTACTGCCTATCTTTCTGACCACAGTATTGGCAAGGCACTCCTACGCCATGTTGGTAAAGATATTTCTTTTCATGCTCTTAAGAGCGGTACGCGCATCGTCACCGTACAGAATGCTACCCAGGCTCATGAGCTTTCTCGTCTTTCTCATATCGATACTGTTCCTGTAACTATTGAAAAGCATCATTCCCTCAATTCTTGTAGTGGTACCGTCATTCTGCCCCATACCATAGTTCAACAAAATTTCCAGACATGTGGCACTGACATTCTTGAACAGCTGGAACTACAAGATCTCCCAATCCTCAAGGTAGACACTTACGTTCTTCCCTAGCAATGTGGCTCGTTTAACTTTTGACAGCCGTGAACTCCCATCCTCAGTTTATGTAGCAGGACATCGGTTACAAGTTCGAAAGGTGATCCCTACACCGCAACAGTGTAGAAATTGCTGGCGATTTGGCCATCCAGCGAAATATTGCAGATCTATCGCCGAATGCCCAGTCTGTGGTGCCGATGACCATTCTAATACGTCTTGCAATCGACCTCCCTCTTGCCTTAATTGTCATGAGGCTCACCCTTCGTACTCTCGCCATTGTCAAGTCTACTTAAACGAGCGGGAAATCCGTTACCTCAAAGAGGCAGAAGGTCTCCCTTATGCCATGGCAGTTTCTCATCTCCGCCTCCAAGGGAGACTACCTCGTGTTTCTTATTCCCGTGTTTCAAAACGTCCCCCCACTTCTGGTATCCCATCTTCTGCACCCACCTCTGTGGTTACCTCTCCCATAGTCACTCCTGTAGCTAATTCTTTTGCTGTCCTCAGCTCAGACGTCCCTACTTCAACGTCTCAGTCTGATCTTGCTTCTTCGTGTTCTCTCTCACAAGCCTCAGTAGCGACGAGATCTCGTATGACACCTCCTCCCAATCGTCCCTCTACTTCTCAAAAGTCAAAAAAGGTCCATTAACACCTCCTACCCATCTTCCACCTCCTCATTTTCCCTTCCCTGTCTCTGTACCTGGCTCTCCCCTCTCACTGGCTCTGTTACAAGTGTAGAGGTTCACCTCCTCCTCGTACTGTACCTTCCTTCCCTGTTCCCTCCCAAGTTTCTTCCTCTTCTGCCACCTCCCAGGTTTCTGCCTCTTCTGTCCCCTTCCACACTTCTCCAGTTCCCTCCACCCTTTCGCCCCCCCTACCTTGGTACAGTCCATTACAGTTCCAACTTTACTCATCCTCCCCCTACCATTTCCAATATTGTCTCCCATACGACGTCTCTGAATTCTGAAAACACTTGAAGCAATCTCTGAATATATTGCAGAGACCAAACCATCAATGGACATGATCCACCCTCCGCTCTTCTCCTTCCTCTACTCCACTGCGCAACTCCTTCTTCACAGCCACACCGTTCCTTCGCTGCTTGAACGTTTTCCACTGCCTCCGCATGTGGACTTTTCTAACCCCCTAGTCCATAGGAAACCCTTACCTGCGGATTTCAGGTATCTTTATCATTGCCAATCATGGCCTATTTACAGTGGAATATATGCGGCCTCAGGGGTAATTGGGGTGAGCTTCAGATGTTACTCTCCCAGTTTTCCCCTGTTGGCGTTTGCTTACAGGAACCAAAATTACACTCTGCTGTTATCTCTCCCATCTCAGGCTATAATTTATTGTATTCTTCAGATCCTTTTCCTGATGGGACCTTTAATGAAAGTGCCCTTCTTCTACGCACTGATATTCCGTACCATCAGCTATTTGTTCGTACTTCGCTGCATTACACAGCAGCCCGTATCCACTTGCATAGGTGGTATACTCTCTGTTCTTTATATCTCTCTCCTTCTCGGGCATTATCTATTCCGGATATTGCCTTTCTTGTTTCGTCATTACCACCACCGATTCTGTTACTTGGTGATTTTAATGCCCACCATTTCCTCTGGGGGAGGGGGTCTCACTGTGATTCCCGTGGCATTCAGTTAGAGGCTTTTCTTGCCACCCACCCCCTCCATGTTTTAAATACAGGTACTCACACCCATTTCGATCCTCGGACTCACACTCTCTCTTGCATCGATCTCTCAGTCTGCACTTCCTCCGCCGCATTAGACTTCACTTGGTCTGTTCTTCCGGACTTGCATGACAGCGATCATTTCCCAATCATTCTTACTTCCCCTTCATATTCACCACCTCTTCGCATCCCACGCTGGCAATTTGATCAGGCAAATTGGAACCTTTACTCACCCTAACATGTTTTTAGAGAGGTTCCTTCTTCGTCCTCCATCGATGAGCTTTTACACCTCTTCTCGTCCTCCGTTTTAACCGCAGCTTCTCATTCTATACCCCAAACTTCGGGCAGGCATTCTCAGAAATGCGTGCCTTGGTGGTCTCCTGCTTGTGCTCGTGCAGTACGTTTGAAACGCGCTGCATGGGGCAGGTACCAGTACAATAGAACCACAGAGAGACTTCTTGATTTTAAGCAGAAGCGTGCGATCGCTCGCCGTGTCATCCGTGACGCTAAACGCACTTGCTGGCGAGATTATGTCTCCACCATCACCTCTGCTTCATCTATGAGTGCAGTCTCCGCAATCCTTCCATTTATAGAATGGTCACTGATATTAGTAGACATTCTTTATTTGTTCGCTGCCCCTGCTTACTCCGTCCCTTCTCTCTTCGCCTTCATTCGCTCTTGTCTTCTCTTCAACTACCACCTTTCTATGTACATGTAGCATCTCACTTTTCCCTACCCCCCTGGGAAGTTCCAGCTGTTCGAGTCTGTTCTTTCTCCCTCCCTTGCTCGAAAGCCCAACTGTCTACGGTCGCTTCCCGCTCTCTTTTTCTTGACCACTTTCACTCTCATTCTCATGCCATTGCTGTGTACACAGATGGCTCTAAGTCTTCTGACGGCGTAGGATTCGCAGCAGTGTTTTCGGACAGCGTCGTACAAGGGCATTTACTATCTTCGGCTAGTATTTTTACTGCTGAATTATATGCCATCCTTACAGCACTTATCCGTATTGCATCTATGCCTGTGTCATCATTTGTGGTTGTCTCAGACTCCCTTAGTGCTTTACAGGCTATACAAAAATTTGATACACCTCACCCCTTAGTCCTCCGTATCCAACTTTGGCTACGCCGCATCTTTACCAAGCATAAAGATATTGTTTTTTGTTGGGTCCCTGGTCATGTTGACGTACAGGGCAATGAACAGGCAGACACTGCTGTGCGGTCAGCAGTACATGACCTACCAGTTTCTTATAGAGGTATTCCATGTACGGACTATTTTGCTGTAATATCTTCCCACCTTCACACCCGTTGCAAACAACGTTGGTCTACTATGCTCGGCAACAAACTTCAGTCTATTAAACCGAGTATAGGTTACTGGCCGTCTTCTTATCACCAGTGTCGAGGTTGGGAGACTACTCTCTCCCGTCTTCGCATTGGCCATACTCGTCTACTCATGGATATCTCATGGAGAGGCGTCTTGCTCCTCTCTGTGAGAATTGCCAAGCTCCATTATCAGTCAGCCACATCTGTTGGACTGCCCACTTTATCAACGAGCACGCAGAATTTACCTCTGTCGTCGTCTTCGCCCCGCTGCTCTCTCTTTACCTTCCCTTCTCGCTGATGGACCCACCTTTCATCTGGACTCTCTCATTGACTTTTTGACAACGACTGACTTACTTCACAAATTCTGATACTTTCAGCCCTTTCTACTTCAATCTCTTGCTACCCTCTACCCCCGTACTATCCCCTGCCCCGCTGTTTTCTGTAACCTGCTGATCATCCCCCCTCCCTTCTGCCATCCAATTCCCTTGCTTCCTTCCCTACCCTGCAGCGCTGTATAGCCCTTGTGGCTTAGCGCTTCTTTTTGATTATAATAATAATAATATGAGTGCAGTCTGGAAAAAAGTACGAAAACTGAGTGGTAAATATTCTCCTGACCCGGCTCCTGTTCTGCGGGTTGCCGGTGTTGATATAGCAAACCCACTAGATGTTGCCAGTGAAACTGGCAATCATCTGGTCCGTATTTCTCAGGGACTCCATCTCAAACTCTGCCAGAGA